TGTGTGTGTGTGTGTGTGTGTGTGTGTGTGTGTGTGTGTGTGTGTGGCTTTTTCAGCCTTGTCCCTGCAAGCACAGTGGGAATCACACCAGAGAACTGTGAGCAACCACACACACACACATACATATAAACACCCACTAGCGCAGAATATGTCGTTACTAAGCATTCATGTATTCAAAAAGCAGCAGTGCATTACTCCTGATGTTCAAGTTATTCAATGCTGCGTGAGTTTACTCTTATACATTTGCTATATATAGGCCTATATATTTTTAGGTGTATTGTTTTTACATTGCCATTTATAGCAACATGTGGAGTCAGTCAAATGATGCCACACAGGTGGGCAGCATGGTATGGGAGGCAAAACAAGAGTATATGGGTCAATCCTGTTATGCAGTGCCTTTAAAACTCTGTAACTTGAATATGCCTGTGTTGTTATTCAAGGAGGAATTTAAATGAAAGGCTATACCAAACTTTCAGAAATGTGCCCTGGTTAAGCTCAGCCACTTTATTTATTATACCGTTTTACACCATTACAAGACAACTGCAGGACAAAATGAATCTGACAGGATAAAAAAAGTTCTAATTTTAGCCATTGTTTGGTGAGTGACTGAGAATTAGCTTACATGATGGTGTTGACTTGATATTTTTAAAATTTTTTGTAATTATGTTGTCATTACTGATATCTGTAGTTGTAAAAAAATTTTTTTTAAAAATTAAATGCTTAAGCATGAAATAAACCAGCTGATGCCTCAAAACATCATGTTTATGCTGTTGTTTTACCACCTGAAATTATATTGTCCCTTCCTGAGGATGATGTCTTTAAGCAACTGGCTTATATAAAGAGAAATTACAAAACACTAACAGGATGGAAAGGGATATTAAGGGATAAAATGATTAACTAAATGAAAATGCCCAAGAAAACATGTTTTGTTTGAAACAATCACGGAAAAGGGAAAAAGTAAGAAACGCCTGGAAAATTTCTTAATATATTGCCTATTTTTACATGTCAGAAGTTTAATATTGTAGCACCTGGGGATATGGCAAACACCGCAACATCTGCTCAAAGTGGTATAATGATTTAGAATTCACCCCATGTTCCCTTAGTTGTGATATTGTGAAAAAATTAACTAATGTGATCTCCATCTTTAGAAATGGTGTGTTTTAAAACTTAATAAAAAATTGCAAAAAAAAAAAAAAAAGAAATGGTGTGTTTACTGTTTTGTCCACTTTGTTAAGACATATATATAACTGATGATAACATGATGATAATGACCCATCAGTTCAATCTGTTGGTTTCCTATTCATTGGTTGAAATACTTGCAGACTTTATACAGATATAGTTTTTTTCTGTTCAAATCTAGGAATTTAGAAAATGATTCAAGAATGTCAAATGTCAGAATAGGTATAATTTAACATAATGATGACATCAAATAATTGGTTGTGCTGTATTGCAAATGCAAATGATCTCTTTAAAACCATTATAGAAAATGTCACCTAAGATCTTCCATGCAGTTCAACAGGCATTGTGCACACATACACACAGACACAGAAGCTAATCAGAAAGTGGGATCTTATTTTCCAGTCCAAATTTCTGCTGAGGATTCTTTTAAAGACAATTTTACATTGTCGTACATACACACACTCTTCACCAGGATAATGTGGCTGACAGAGCCTAGAAAATAATGATAATGAAGATACAGTAAATCTAAAGCAGAAGATGTTGGGTGTGAACTCACAGTAATGACCGTGGTGGTTTTAATGGCTGCTCACAAAGCTTAGGCCAAAAAACAATTTAACTTTGTTATTTTAAGGTTTACAAGGAGATTTTGAGGCCAATGGCCATGTTTGAGCAAGAGGTTGCATTATACTGGCAAATCATTGACTGCTGTGCGAGATCTACTAAAGGTGACGTAAATAAATCTAAACAGCTGCAGATAATCTCATTTCCGTAGCTATCGCTCTTTGATGTGACGTTTTTGTCTATTTTGATGCTCTTTGAGGAATAATCCAAATATCTCTCCCTTCATTCTGCGTGTGGATGTGGACTGCATGCTAATAGTGTATTGAGGGGTTGGAATTGATCAAAAATTGTCATAATAATGGTTCACTTTAGGAGCAATTCATTAAGAATGAATCGTGCGCCACTGTTAGCACCGCTTATTTCATTGTGCTGTTTTGAATTGTTTTAGCACCCAATTCACTAAAGAAATTATGCATTATGACGGCTTCATCATTTGATCATGCGCATGCTAAACTGGCACAACTTTTCGTGAATTTGCCTCCTATGCTTTCAATAAGAATCCAAATGAATTAGACAAAATTGTTTCTAAGGCGTCCATTCCAAGGACCTTTTTAATGAAACACGAGCAGAATGAAATTCTGTGTACATCATACATAAACATTTAGCATATTATGAACGATTTGCAGAGAAATTAATTCTGCTTGTGGCAGAATGCATTTAATGGTTGCAATGTGTTTGTGGATGATGGAGGACTCTGTGTTTGTTCATGCTTATTTTATTCATAGCAAATGAGGATCATGTCAAGTCACAGCTGTCATACTGTCAAGTTCTGAACTCCATGATAGATAAATCTACATTGTTAACTGTCCTTCCACAACCATAATCTGACCTCAGACTGTCACACAGTACTTCACACACGTCACACACGTGTGAAGTACGTCACACAGTACTGAATTCAGGTAGTGTCATGATATTCACAGAAATCCAGAGTAAGAAGAGTTTAGTGTATGTGCTCATGTATTTTTGAGAAGTAAGAATACAGCTGTCTGAAAGCTGAAAGATGCACTTTCACAAGCAGTATATGGATGTAGGAAGGCATCAAGGCACATCAGAGTTCAATGTTTGCATAACGTTCTGTCTATTAAGATGCCATCACCCTTTTTCGTTTTTCCTAGCCTATAATAAGACTGAGAATAGCTTCTGACAGGGTGGTTGAAATCTGTAAATTAGTTTAAACACTACAAAGTTTGGGGTTTGTTAAGACGCTTTCTTTATTTTTGAAAGAAATTCTATTTTAGCATGGACACATTCAGTGGCTCGAGAAATAACAGTAAAGACTTTTACAGTGTTGCAAAAAAATTTTTGTTCTTTTGAACTTTTTATTCATCCAAGAATCCTGAATCCAAGACAGACAAAAAAAAAAAGAGAAAACAATGTATCATGGTTTCCCCATTAAATATTACACACAACTTTTTCAACATTGATGACAATAAGAAATGTTTTCTGAGCAACAAACCAGTATATTAGAATGATTTGAATAATGACTGCCCAAGAAGTAGGTTTCATCAGAAGGCACCTTTTCCAGAAGTGTTGTCTGTTAAGTCATTAACTGACTAGGCACAAATGCAGAAAGGCCGTTAGTTTTGGACTCTGACGTGTATTAGGCCGTTTGATACAGGCATTTTATTTCCATTGGTCTCTCTGTCTGTGTGTGTGTGTGTGTGTGTGTGTGTGTGTGTGTGTGTGTGTGTGTGTGTGTGTGTGTGTGTGTGTGTGTGTGTGCGTGCGTGTGTGTGTGTGTGTCAGTCTTTGATCAGTAAAGTTCTTGGTGACTTGGAGGCAGATGAAACAGTTTTTCCAAATTAGAGCGCCCACTCACTCACCCTCTGTCTCAGCCATGCCCCCCCCTCTCTCTCTCTCTCTCTCTCTCTCTACTGTCTCAAGCTCTCACTTTCATTCTTACCCTGCTGTTATCAGACATTTGACTAAATAAGATCAGTGGTCAACTACCAAAACAAATGTATTTTGTTTTTGTTTTTTTTCAGTCCACAATTTTTCCTACTTTCTTCTTCTTTTTCAGTTTTATAGATGATTTATTTAATTTTGATGACAATGCCAAACTGATGGCATTATTGCACTCTCTATTAGGGATGGTAAGATTCACAGAGTGTGCATAAGATACAAGTTGCCATTTGTTTCGCGATGCATCGTTTCTTACATATTTGCATCGGTAAAAACTATTTATATATAATTATTAGTAGATGCACTCTACAAAAAATAATTTGTGACCAATATTTTATATGTAGATTGATTTCTCCTCTCTAAACTGTTTCTCTAGCGTGCTCTCTCATCACCATTGCTGCTACATAAATATGATATATCACAGCACTACTGATTTGCTGTCTGTCCGAACCAAAGAAATAAAAGCAAGCTATTTGTACCATATTGAATTGCATAGCATCATATTTTTTCCATTGCATCGTATTGCATTGAATCGCATTGTGTTGAATCGAATCGAAATCGGATCGCACTGCATCGTAATAGGGGTGAATCGTATTGCATCGCATTGGTAGCTGCTTCATATGTGTCTTTAATGTATTGCATCGTTGGCTATGCATTGAGATGCGTATCGCATCGGCCTGTTATGAAGATGCACATCCCTACTCTCTATCAATTATTTTAGTATTTTATATGCTATATAGTATTTATTTTCATTTTAAAATGTATTTTAATTTTTTACATTTTTGTTTAAGTTTTAGTAATTTTGTATGTGCTTTTGTCATTTTTAATCTCGTTTATTATTTATATCATTTATTTGTTTTAGTTTTAGTAATTTTAGTACTTAAATTTCTAATTTTCAAGTTTTTGATAATATTTATATTTCATAATATTTCTATTTTATTTTATATCAGCTGTATTTCAATGGCCAAAAGCAATTTGTAATAGTTTTATCTAAAAATTATATTACTGCTCTCCATTAACAAATCTGTCTGTATTTTTTATTTCCCCCTTTCTTCTATTTCTCCTCTACTTTACTATTTAGGTTTTCTTAGCACAGGAGATCAGTCTGCTAAAGGGAACTATGGCCTGTTGGATCAAATCCAGGCCTTGCGTTGGCTGAATGAGAATATTGGACACTTCGGTGGCGATCCTGAACGAATCACTATCTTTGGCTCTGGAGCTGGAGCGTCTTGTGTCAACCTACTCATCCTGTCCCACCACTCTGAGGGTAAGACAAGTGTGTGTGCGTGTGTGTGTGTGTGTGTGTGTGTGTGTGTGTGTGTGTG